TGTGTGTGTGTGTGTGTGTGTGTGTGTGTGTGTGTGTGTGTGTGTGTGTTGGGAAAAGTGTGTTAGGGAGGGAGGCAAGGGATGGAGGAGGCAGGGTCTGCTGGAAAGAGGGGCAGAGAGCTTGGGCTGGGATGACCTGGAAAGCCCACTTTCCAGGGGTGGGAATTGATAGTGGTAATATTGGGCAGTAATGTACACTGTACCACAGTGACTCTGGGCTGGGTGGACAAGATGCTGGGAAGTTAGGCTGACATCTCTGGTATGTCCTTATATGCTGTGAGGCTGACTGAGCCTGGGCTGCATAGGCTAGTGAGCCATGGCAGGGGTGGGGGGGTGGCGGGGAATACATCTACCAGGGCCTAGACAGGTGGGGAAGAAGCCTCTTGGGTCAGGAGACAGAAAAAGGGGAGAGGGAGACACAGATGGGGTGTGGAGGGGTAATGGAAACACTGAAGTCTTTGAAACCTTTATCCTGGCTATTCCCCTCACCCACCACTTCCATGGATTAAATTCTGTTTTAAAGCTCAAAGATCTTCAATAAATAATCTGGTTTAGCTTTTTATCTTCAGAGGGTAAGGTATGACTTCCCCACTTCCCAGATGAGGTCTAAACTTGCCCAAGCTCTTCTGGGCAGAGGATGCTGAGAAGGGCCCCAGGAGGCAGGTCTTTTGCCCTCTGTGGAGTAACTTCTCCCTCACACAATAGGCTCCAAGCCTGAGTGCTTCCCAGGGCAGAACCTGCAGGAAGGGGCACCACAGTGCAGTCATTTTATTCTTTGCTATGCCCCTTCCCAGCTCTGTGACTTGAGGCAAGTTACTTAACCTCTCTGAGCCTTAGTTTCATTATCTGTAAAATCGCAGCACTAATACCTGCTTCTGTAGCATGGTACTGAGGATAAAATGAGATTTATGTAAAGATTTATGTGTACATCTATAAATATTTGTAAATCTAAATGTACTAGGCATTTTAAATCATCTACATCTTTGTTATCTTTTCAGCTTATTCTCTCCAGACCTGCTGAGCACATCAACCTCCTGTCTCCCAAGCCCTTTGCACCCCAAGCTTCCGAATCTGGCATTTCCTTGTCTTTGATCTTGCTTTGTATTCTCCATGTCCATGTTAATCCTCCCTTCCATATGTCCCTCAACACTGGAAGGATCTGTTTACAGTATATTATCTTACATGTTTCATTTCTTCTTATTTATTTATTTATTTATTTATTTATTTATTTATTTATGCATGTATGCATGCATGCATGCATGCTCTCCCAGGGTTTCTTGTTTTGTGTGTCTCTCTTCTTACATCCCAGATATGTCTTTTCATCCCTTGGGATGCTTTCCTTCCCCCTGGGCTGGGTTCACAGGGTGAGTCCAAAGAATGGACACTGAGAGGTGCAGATAGGTTGAGATCCAACAGGAGAGGGAGGTTTGGGGGATAGGGCAGCAAACTAGGCTTCTGGATTTGGGGTTCTTTTATAGACTGTGTAATTCTTCAGAATGTTTGCCTAACTAAAGTTTAGGGAGGAATTAACTTCCTAAAGTTTAGAGAGACTATATTTTGTTTCCTGATATGGGACACATCATCTGGAGGTCCATCCCACAGACAGAGAAATAGCAGCTAAGAGAAGGCTTTCCTTTTCCTTTTGGTTGTATATGTGTGTGTAAATGTTTCTCTGGTTCTAGCATTTAACACCCCTACCTCTAAGGAAATCCTTTCCAAATGTATTCTAAATTCCTTTTCCTAAAATTAAGTCCATCTCTTTAGTGGAGGCAGTTTCTCAAGTCCTCTGGTTCAGTGTGTTTCATCAGATGTGTGTCCATGGGGAAGAGGGAGGGTAAAGGGTAGAACTTGGAGAAGAAATGTAATTACCCAGCTCCTGGCTTTAATTACACAGAAGCCCTGGACATTCTGAACTTTATTAAACTTCAAAGTGTCCGTGGGGTGGGATGGACCTGGTGGGTTTTGCTCCATTATCTTTTCTTCAGGACTTTCTGCAAGGTTCCCTCTCTTCTCTCTTTTTTGCTGCTAAGGAGACTCCTTGAGCTCTGGCTATAACCAGACATCTGGCTTTTGGGACATTCAAATATGGTGGTCAGGGAAGGGGGTGGGGAGGACGACTCTCCTTTAGATTGCTTGAGTTAATGTTCTTAGTGTCTCCACTGGCCCTGAGAGGAGATGGAGAAGTCAGGCTTTGCAGTGCCCCAGGAAAGCCTGGGGGAAAAAAAGGCAGAATCGAGCTTGCCATGGCTAGTTGCTTCATCTCAGGTCCATTGAAACCTAGATTCAAGCATGTACACTGGCCTCAAAGTCACTGTTCTCTGCCTCAGTTTCTTCTTTTGTGGGTTTCATATGTATATTTGTGGGAGCCCTTTAGTGAAGAGCTGCTTCAAGGCCTACATCATGACTGTTCAGAAGGTATCTACATTGTTGACCCCAAATTAATGGACAGTCACTAATGTGTTAGTTGCTTATACTTTGCATGGTGCTTATTTAGTTCTCAATGCAGACATCATCCCAGACCTTACCCTCTTCTCACTCTTCTCCATGTGATCCCTAACCGTCCTGTCCCCAGCACTTTCTCCAGAGTTTTTCATCCTTGCCTGCCTGGTGCCTCGGTTTCTCTTTCTCCTTTGCCCCCACTCCCCCTTGCACTGGTTTCCCAAGCTACATTAACTCTGATAAGTTTAGGGGTGGGCCTCAGGGGTCTTTTGATTGCAGCATTTTGGGGGAGAGTAGGGGTGGCAGTTTTCATATCCGTGTAGGGGTTTTCGGATCCCCAGGTTGGCAATGGGAAGGAGTCAGGGGCAGTGATGTCAGCCGCTTCATCCTATCAGCTTCCTGGACACATCTACCACCCAGCAGCACCTGAGAGGGTATGGGGGCTCAACAAGTACCAGGTGAGACTGAAGAGGATCATAAAGCAAATATATGTATTCTCCCTGGCCTGGGTCCCTCCTCCTGCTCCACACCTGCCTCCTTCTCTCTCTTTCTCTTGCTCCCTCCCCCTCCTCCCAGAAACCTTGTGTCCTTCCTTCCTATTTTGCTTCTTTAACCTTCATTTTTGTCAGGCAGATCTGCCTGTCTATAGACCTTTCTGTTTCTCTGACTCCAGACATATTTTGGTCTGAGATTTTCAGAACTGAGTCTACCCTCAGCTCTTCCTTTTGGCTGTCTCCCTCCCTGCTTCCATCTCTCACTCTCTCACGTGTCTCTTGCCATCACACTTTTATGAGTTTCACCTTGTGTGCCTTTTAGTTTCTCCATGCCCATCTCCTGTCTGTCTCCTTTTGGTGTCTCCCCACATCCCTGTTGCCTTTCTTACCCCACCTTTTATCTCTCTTCCTTGCTTCTCTTATCTCTATGTCTTTCAACCTCTTCCCCTATCTCTGGTTCACACCCCTGCCTCTTCACCTCTTCCCTCCTCCAACCCATCAAGGTTCAGATACTTCATGTGAAATCACCTGGAGGGGCCACAACTACCAAGTCACCCCATGATGTACCCCTTTCTCCATGAGAGAATTATGGCCCCATTCTGTGTCCTTTGTATTCCCCAACACTGTACCCATTCTTTTCTTTACCTAGTGATTATTTTGGGGGTCATGCAATTTCTCCCCAGCTACCCACTCTCTATCCAGTAGGCAGTGAGTAGCATAGGGTGAAAGGGGAACATATTGTCATTGGGACCAGATGCAAGGACAGGAAGACCCTCCCCCTACACACTTCGTTCCATCAAGCAGATGCACATCTGGGAAAATCCCAGTCAGAGGAAGGGGAAGGCAGCCTAGAACTATTGGACAGACACAAATCAAACATCCAGATGCTCTCCTCCTACTGTTCTGTTATGGAAGCCATCCTTCAAACCCCTGACTGTCTCCTTTGCCTCTAGGAATTTTAGCTCTGTAGTCCCGGCTGGGCCACACATCCACTACCCAGCCTAGTACCTGGAACAAAAGAAAGAAGTTCTCAATTAGTGCCCTTGGTCCATGCCTACTGAAGATGTGTTAGGGCAGGGTCAATGTGATTTGTAGGTTTTCCTCAGTTGGGGGTTCTTCCTGAGATCTGAATTAATTCTTTCTACTCTAATTTCAGTAATCTCTCTTAGTATAGTTAGTATAGATTTTGTCAGGTAGAGACAAAATCTGCTACCCTTCTCTCCCATCCCTCCACCTCCACCCCAGTGTTTAAGGAACCTAATTTAGGGTTTAATGGAACCTCAGCACTATCAAGTAGAGAGGCAGTGGCATCTCTTTTCCTTTGAGGGATTCTTCGACCCACCATTGGTGCATTCAACCCTCAGTCTCTAAGTAGCACCCCCCCTTCTCTATCTCTGACAAGTCTGCCTCTGTTTGAGGATTAACATTATAGGATGAAGGAGGCACCTTCCTTTGATCACCATTTCAGGGTCTTGGAAGTCTGATGTTATGACTGTCTAGAGCAGGAAGCTCCGTAGGCAGGGACTATATCTTTCATTTATTTCCTCCAGCACAATGCTTAATGCATATTCAGTTAGAATGTGCTATGAACTCTGAATGACTGTCTCAGGAAATCCCTCAGGGTGAAGCTTAAGGCAGCTCTCTTTTAATTTTATTCCTTGAGTGATAGAAAACATGGGTGGGGAGACAGGGATGGATGGTGGTGATAGAGGAAACTAGTAGGAAATTCTGGAAGAGGCAGCTGGGGGTGGGGGGGTGCGGTGCTCCTATCTTTGTTCAAAGAATTGCTGAATGGGCTCTTTAGCTGGATCTGGGACTGGCCTCTGAATCACCACAGGCTGGGCTCCACCTGGCTCCCCCCCCCACCTCCTCCTGCCAATCAGGACTTTCTCCATACCCAGAACCCTAGAGAGTTTATTTACTTCTAAATTCACATCTTTTGCAAACAAAGTCTCCAACGAAGGCCCCCCATTTAAGTCCTCACTCCACCAACGCACCTAGATATGGCTCCACTAGTCTCCCATTGGCTACTCCCAGCTTACCAACAGGACTGCAGCTAATCTATCTAGTGCACCCTTTCCCACCCTTTTCATGTACCCCGCCTCCTCAGTGGCCCCACCTCCTAGAGGGCCTGCCTTCCAGGGCCCCTGCTAAGATCCAATCTAAGTCCTGATTCTGGCTTGCCAAGCTCCTTACCTCTCCCTGGGTTTGACTTGCACTTTCTTCTCAGGTCTTTCCCCTCTGAGGCAGAACAAGTCCATGGGTAAGTGATTTATCCTTTTATAGAGCTGGCAAGAAAATGGAAACAGAGCCAGAGAGGAGGGCTGGGCTTGGAATGCACCTGGCTATGGAAGCCTTGTGGGGTTTCTAGCCCCCATGGCTAGACTGTGGATTGCAGGGTGAAGACCAGAGGCCTTGTGCATTTGGGAAGACAACTAGGTTTGAGGGGTTAGAGTGATTTAGAGCCCTACACTCTGTTCCCCTCCTGACCACTGAGGTTCTCAGCTCTGCTGAGGAAAATATGAGTTAGGGGAGGTTATTCCTTGGTGCTTCTCCTCCAGAGTCCTTCCTACCTCTTTGCCCTGCCCTCCCTCTTGGCCTTTTTTACTGACCTGGTGCAGATCTTGGTTTCTTCATCTTTGTGTTTCCCATAGGGCACAGCACATAGTCTACTTAGACATGTTCTTTGAATGAAGGAAGATTCTTTACCTGACTTTCCTGCCACCTTCATGTTTCTTCACACTTTCTCACTTGATATTCTGAAAGTCTCTGTATCATATCTTCTTAGGGAGAGCATTGGTGTGGACTTTGCAGAAGAGCAGGTCCAGTGTGATAAGGTGGTTCCCCATCACCAAGCTCCAAGCTTAAGGAGCTAGATATCTATTTTTACAGCTGCTGGAGGTATCTCCCTGGCTTTCTTATCTAATTTTAAAAAGTTGTGGTAGGCATTGATTATAGGCTAGTTCAGGTTGTAAGAGGAAAGAATCCTATGTTCCCTTGGGGTGTAGCTGCCTAGTGATCTTTAAAACAATTTATGAAGGCTTTTATGAAGTCTCAAATATATTATGAGTCAATCTTGAATAAACCTTGAAATTTGATGGCTCTGTTCTTTCTCTTTGAATCTGTCAATTTTATGTATATGATAGGCATATTTGTTGATAGAAAAAATGGGGGTGGTCAACACCCCCCAACCACCATGTACATTATGGGCTGTATCCTAACACTAGAGCCAAGAAAACACTTCTGCATGCATGACACCCATTTTACTGATTATGTGTGGCAAATGTTTATTTCTGTGTTGTCTTTATCTTTCCCTCTAGCAGTTCTTGGGCAACTTCTCTCCAGTATCAACTGATACATGTTATATGTTTCCAAAGGCAGATTCTCTTTAACCCTAGTTTAAGCAAAATCATGTGCAAAGGCCAATTTCCTACACCAAGTATCTTCTGAATTGAAAATATGATTTTTGAATCATATTCTTTTGATTTATCCTCATCCATTTTTTCTTTTATTATCACTGAAATCACAAAGCATACTGGAAATAAGAAAAAAAAAAGTAGGGAAGAAGGATAAACAGTGTCCCTTGAAAAGTGTTGGTGGAGGCTCTTTGTTGTAGATTGTGTTTCCTAAGCTGGGGTGAGATAGATGGGTCTTGGTGGAGAAGTGATGTAAATCCATATTTAGATAACAACTCAGGACTTAGAGGCATGATACAACTTTCATGTGACTCAGATGATCTGGTGTCTTCCCTACAACAAACAAAACAATTAACTTTCCAAGAGAGATGGTGACAATGTGGAGCAGCCACCTAGGGATGTGAGAAGAACCAAGCAAAATCTGTTGAGGGAGGACATAAATAAATAGCTTAATCCTTACATGGGAGAGCAGAAGGACACGTTTGAAGATATGAAGGAATATAACCAGAGATAATCGACCTTTCCTAAGACACCTTGTGTGCATTGTATTACTGAGGGTGCATGATGAGAGGAGGTACAAAGAAGAATAAGCCACGGCCTCTGACCACTCACAACTGCTAGTCTGAAAGTGGAGATGGACTGTAGTTATAGTTGGGACCACTGGACAGATTTCTAGATTCTTGCTTACAAGGAAAGGAAGGCTTTGGGGGGAAACCAAAGGTTCCTTGAAAAAAAAAATGAATGTGGATCAGTGTTCATTGTAGACAAAAGGAATCATATGTTACAGCTGTAATTTGGAAAATAAGGTAGAGAGGCATTTGGATTTTCTTCTACTGCTTTCACCTGAGTACTTTTATTAGGTGTTCTCTGTTGACAGGATTAGAGGTTGAGAAAAGGGAGTAGAGAATTGTAGGGAGAAGTAGAGGAAAAATTGTATTTCACTGTTGAAATCAATGTATCACATAATTTTCTAATCCCTTAATTGCACTCCCTTCTCAGATTTTCCCAGCTCTCTGATTCTTGCTTGGAAATTCTAATTCTGATTCTTCCTAGTAGCCCTTCTAGTTTCTGAAGACCTCTAGAAGTAGAAGCTCAGGCTTTTCTGATTTGTCAAGTTCATCATATGTTTTAGAGTGATAGAAATGTTAAGAATTTCTAAAACTGGATTATGACTGAAACTACATCTGTAAATGTGTCAAAATCATGAATGAGAAATATTTCATTTCACTCTGTCTTCTCTACAGTTATCCCAGAGGGACTAAGAAAAGCTGCTTTGTTCACAACCATACAAGAATGATACTAGAAAATATGGAGTCTATACAGCCTCTAGAGAAGCTCTGGATATCTGATTATTTATATAAATAATGGTGCAATGATACTAGTATGATGTCTGCATGTGTCAGGAAATCCATAGGTATTATGGGAAGGAAGCAAAATGTTTTGTTCTATGACTACATAGATTTGGTCTACATCTGGCTGGTTGGATTTGGTCTACATACAGTTGGCCTGGAGCATGTTATTTTTCATCATGATGGGTTTTCACTGACTTGGAATTCTGCCTCTGCCAGACTGGGAGAGGGTTTGAGAGGGGTAGTGCTAGCGGTAGTAATGTAGGTAGGTGAGTTGGAGGAGGTGGCTGTGTTTCTTCTTGGTCTAATGAGCAGACAGTTTGGAGACTGCCATGCTTTCTAGTTCAAATTTTGGTTGCACATAGTAATGTTTACTTGCAGAATTAGGGTTTGCAGCATTATTGAGTGATAATTGAGTAGGTTGTACCTTAAGGATTTTTTATTTTAGAAAGGAATACAAAATCTTCTTCCAGGTAACATGCAAAATGAATACAGAGCAAGGTAAGGTTATAGATGGAGGATGCCTGGTAAGTGATCTGTTTGGTGAAGTTTTTCTCTGAAGACTCTTGGGAGATAAGATTGATATTTATTTTCTTTATTATGAGCTGAATTTGGTTACTTCAGATTTCTTGCCAACTTTTCAGGAAAGCTATGTTTCCCCAGGGAAAAAGTTACACATTTATTACTACTGAAATGGTTTCTCTCTGTTTTCCTCTTCGGTACAGACCAAGACTGAGAATTATTATTATTGTTGTTGTTATTGTTATTACATTTACATCTAGATCTGTATTCATATCTGTAACAAATATTTACCTGGATCTCTTTAGTTTGGCAAGCTGAATTTACTGGTTTAAGGTGTTTTGGAATTTGTTTTGTGTTTTTGGTGGGGGAGCATGGAAGGAAAGCCTGAAAGAGGCTCTAAGCTTTGGATCCTGGCCACACTGAAGATGTAACTTGAACTGATATTTTCCTGGGAAACAGTTACACATATTGCTAGCGTGGGGTAATTTCCACTTCTTCCATGAGGCTTCTCAGGCTCACCCATGGTGCACAAAAGATACTCATTTTTTTTAAATTTAAATTCAAGTTAGTTGACATACAGTGTAGTCTTGGTTTCAGAAGTAAAACCCAGTGATTCAACTCTTACATATGACACCCAGTGCTCACTGCAAAAAGTTTCCTCATTAATGCCCATTACCCATCTAACCATTCTTCCCCCACCCACCTTCCCTCCAGCAACCCTCAGTTTGTTCTCTGTATTTAAGATTCTCTTAAAACCCTCAGTTTGTTCTCTGTATTTAAGATTCTCTTATGGTTTGCCTCCCTGTTTTTATCTTAATTTTTCTTCCCTTCCCCTATGTTTATCTGTTGTGTTTCTCAAATTGCACATGAGTTAGATCTTATGATATCTGTCTTTCTCTGACTGACTTATTTTGCTTATTACACTCTGGTTTCATCCACATTGTTGCAAATGACAAGATTTCATTTGTTTTCATCACCAAGTAGTATTCTATTGTGTGTGCATGTGTGTGTGTGTGCGTGTGTGTGTATATATATACATGTATATATACATATATATGTGTATATGTATACATATGTATGTGTATACATATGTATACACATACACATATACATATACATACACACACACACACATCTTTATCCATTCATCAGTCAGTGGACATTTAGAGCTACAAGAAACAATCCTAAATTTTTTATGGAACCTCAAAAGACCCCAAATAGCTAAAGTAATATTGAAAAAGAAAACCAAAGCTGGAGGCACCACAACTTCAGACTTTAAGCTGTATTACAAAGCTGTAATCATGAAAGCAGTGTAGTGTTGGCACAAAAACAGACACATAGATCTATAGACTAGAATATAGAACCCAGAAATGTGTGTGTGTGTGTGTGTGTGTGTGTGTGTGTGTGTGTGTAAAACCAACTATCTTCAACAAAGCAGAAAAGAGTATTCAGTGTAAAAAAGATAGTCTCTTTAGCAAATGGTGCTGGGACAACTGGATAGCAGCATGCAGAAAAATGAAACTGGACCACTTTCTTACACCATAAACAACAATAAATTCAAAATGGATCAAAGACCGAAATGTGAAATAAGAAACCATCAAAACCATAGATGAGAAAACAAGGAGCAACCTCTTTGACCTCGGCTGCAGCAACTTCTTACTTGACCTGTCTACAGAGGCAAGGGAAATAAAAAGAAAAATAAACTATCGGGACCTCATCAAGTTACTCACTTTCTTGCCGCCAGTGGAAAATGTGGTCCTTCCTACTCTTACCTTCCATCAAGTAGGAAGCCCTCTGTGATCTTGACATGCCCTTGTGTTGACTGTTACTTTTTGCTTTAAATACCCTTCCTAGTTCAGTTTATGTATCTTTTACGTATTTTGGAAAGTTATGAGTTGTTCACAAAAAGCCTCTATTGTACATTCCCAGAGAGTGAATTCTCTTTTTTCCATCATTATCTTGCACTGTGTGTAACC